ATATATAACAATAAAAATTATAATAAAAAAAACAATATTATATATAAATTAAATAAAATAAAATAAAATAAAATAAAATAAAATTTATATTTGTTTGTGTTCATACAGCATAAGGAGACGGAGTTCTTTCTCCTTTGCCTTTGTCTTTCTCAGCACCTTCAGCAGCACCATTGCAGCAAGGGGGCCCCCGGGGCCCCCAGAGGCAGCGAGGGGCCCCCAAGCTATCAATCTAACCCAAAGAGGGGCCCCTGGGGCCCCTCTGAACGCTTCAAGCACACACGGAGAGGGGCACCCAGGGGCCCCCGTTTGCCGCAGGTAGCAGCTGCAGCAGCTGCAGCAGCAGCAGCAGCAGCAACAGCAGCAGCAGCAGCAGCAGCGGCAAACACAGGTGAGAGGTACTAGAGCACTCTTTAGGATATAAGTGGAGAAAATATATTATAAAATACAAAAATTAATTTATTTTTTTTAATTTCAGATAAACAAAAACAAATATAACACAAAGACAGCAAAGGGGTACTAGGGGGGGGGGGCCCCCTGCAGGTGGGTACTGAGCCTGCGGTCGGTGGCGGGGGGCCCCCCCACCTCAACCTCTTTATTTATTTATTTTTTTCTGTTTGCTGCTATTTGCATGCAGTATAAAGTGAAATTCATTACACTAAACTCAACCCTTTTCTGCTGCAGCAAGGGGGCCCCTCTGCAGCGGCTGGGGCCCCCCAAAACAACACGAACCCCCTAAGGGTTTAGGGGGGTCGGGGGGGCCCCAAACCCTAAACCCTAAACCCTAGCAGCAGCAGCAGCAGCACAGCAGCAACTAAACCCCTTCTACAGCTCCTGAGGGCACAGCTAGCCGCCTCTCTTCCTCCAGTGGGGGCCCCCGGGGCCCTCTAGGGGCCCCCAACAGGACCCCCAGGGGGGCCCCCAGGGGCCCCCAGGAGGCCGTTGAGGGGGCCCTTGAGGCTGTAAGAGGACCCTCTGCTGTGTGTGGCTGCGCATGCATCTTATATCTCCTATACTGCTTCTTCTTCGCTGAGGGGGCCCCCCAAGACAGGTAGGAGAGGGGCCCCCAGCTGCTCTCAAGGGGGCCCCCGGTATGTATAGATAGAATTTGCTGCAGCAGAATTTCGCTGAGGCATGGGGGCCCCTCGTATGGGTACCCAGGGAGAAGAGGGGTCCCCTGGGGGCCCCCATGGGGGCCCCCAGGGGGGCCCCCATGGGGGCCCCTCTGCAGACGCAGCGGCAGATCCTGTTGAGGCGTTTCTATCTGAGGTGGCTCAGCTGCTGCTGCGGGGCCCCCATAGTGCAGCAGCAGCAGCAGCAGCAGCAAAAGGGGTATGGGATTACGACTTGGGGGGCCTCCTCTCAGACTTCCTTCGCTTAACTGAAGAGGGCCTCATAGAGATGGAGTATGCGGGACAGGGGGCCCCCGAGGGGCCCCCCGTCTCTCCTCTCTCAGCAGAGGAGGGGGCCCCCCCATTGGGGGCCCCCCA